CAGTTAATATGGGTAATGGCTGACAGACTCAAATTATTAAAATCTATATTAAAACTGCGGAAAACATACATTCCTTCGTCTTGTAAACAAGCTTATAAAGTGATATGATCTATTTTTAAAACATATTTACTGCAAACTGTTTACAATCGGCGCCGAAGGGACTTAACTACGCATTTAAAATAATTATCGTTTATGCAAACTACAGAACAATGACTACTGCGTCAACGGAACGTCCAAAAGTAATTACGCCATTAAATAAATTAACTTTTTAAATTAAAGACGCATATCTTTTGTAAGTATCCATTACTCGACATTTGCGACAATGGCTATCCATTTATACGCAGTTTTTACGGTGAAGAAAAACATCGTGATGCAATCAAACTGCAGTGAGCCAGCGTGGTTGACTATAGCCTAGTCACCAACTTAGGGTAGGCTCCGAGCCTCATTGGGGGCGTATAGTGAGCTGATGATGATGATGATGATGATGCTATAACTTATTTTGTTTTTATATACTTAATTCTGCCAATGGATTTGTTTGATAAATAGATATGGCATATAAGTAAATATTACTATGTAAACTTTTAATAGCTTACGTAAAATCTTTTCTTATTTCTAGCCTACATATTGACAAATCTCTGTGCAAAATTTCAAATCTCTACGCCCATTATTTTAGAATGTGAGTTAGTATATCAGTTTCTCTTTTTTACTACTTACTAATATAAAAATGCGAATGTTTAAATGGATGAATGTTTGTTTGAAGGTATCTCCGGAACGGTTGCATGGATCACGCTGAAATTTTGTATAAATATAGAATATAGTCTGGAATAATACATAGCTCATTTATTAAGTTGTTCTTTTAAATTTATATGTAAAAGTATTTAGCTATAATCTCAAACTTGCGGAAAAGATGTACATTATATAACAACATTTTCTTTTATTATACAAACCACTAGTTGTCGCCCGCGACTCCGTCCGCGTGGATATATAAAAAACTTAGTGTAGCCCACCCATCCATCCATCCACATCACATCCATCTAAACATTCGTAATCATAATAAAAAAAATGAATTAATAGTATCCTATGTCCGTCTCCTGGCTCTAAGCTACCTCCTCACCAATTTTCAGCCATATCGGTAAAACCGTTCTTGAGTTATAAATAGTGTAACAAACACCACTTTCTTTTATATATATAGATTAAGTAATATTCAATAGAATGCATTATATAAATATGTAGCTCTTTACACCGGTCTTCACACACGGCAAAACAATAACGTTATATTGCCAACCAATGGAAATGTACGGGCTAATACATTGTCAATAAGAAACATGACGCAACGTATTGTATTCAAATAGTATAACATCGATATCTGATAGGTAACTAACACTGTTTACGATGATTGCAAACTACTTTCAGACATTATTAGAATCCTTTGGCGTGAATTACATGCTTTCGTTACGAAATCCAGTGTCAGAATGAATAGTGAGGGGACATAAACGTCGACGTAGTAAGGCTAGTGTTGTCAATACACTGGCTCATTTTCGGACTTTCTTCCTAACACTATTTACTAATTCTTTAATTTATTTAACGCTTTGAGACTTGAAGCTATTGCGACTTTGAAACAGTCAATATTCTAACTAAAGTGTAAGTTCGGTCCTCCTTGAGTACTCGGAAGACTCGGCTAGGGTGAACAATGGCTGGAAATAAATTTGAAAGTTAAATTTTTTAAAGGAAAATATCATCAGATTTGTCATTGGCCAGCTGTCACCAGCGAAACCGTTCGCGAGGATTAAAAAAGAACTTAATTAGTATGCGTTCTTTCAGGCTATGTTCTACATCTATGCCAAATTTCATCAAAATCCATGCAGCCGTTCTGTAGATATCTTCAAACAAATATCCATCCAACTAAACATTCGTATTTATAATATTTGTAAGAAATAATATTGAGATTAACAGTGGTAGAGCCCGCTTTAACATCTTCGCACGAATCGGCCCGGCTCGCCCGGTGAAATACCACGACCACACAGAAGACACGCCTCAAGTGGAAGCTATTCCGCGTTTCGTCTGATGAGTGTGCGTCCCGGAAGCCTTACTTAGTCCCCTTTCCCTTCCCATCCTTTTCTTTATAAGGAAAGGATGGGAAGTGGAAGTGGACTTTCCGGATGAGAGGATGCATATAAAGGGAAGATATTTTTTTTCTGTGCATTTTCTCCTCTGTCCTATGATTTAAAAAAAAAATGAGATATTATATGACGTCTAAATAAAATGTTAACAGGATACAAATGAGATTATAAAATCAAACGATTACTTTACGATTATCGAAATTAATCCCAACATATTGTTACAGATATCACGTTAAAAACTTGTTATCTAGCTTTCCAAGAATTTATTTAACATGCGGCTAATATGTGATTACAATTGTATTAATCAATAAAAATAAATATGTTTATTAATTAACGAAAATTCCTAATTTTTCCTATAATTTATAATATAGAGGGCTTTAAATGTTCTGCCTACATGAGTTAGTAACCACTTGGTTTTGAGACCAAAATCTTTGTACCTTTTTTTTATAACATAAGGTGGCAAACGAGCGAGAACCTACACATCATACCTGTCATTATCTTTGACAAAATAGAGATAAAGTTTTAAACTACAATTATGGTATCGGAAACCCACGATATGCTTGCTAGCAATATAAAGCATAACATATGTTTCTTAATGGTGAGTTTCCCTATCGCTCAGCCTATATTATTTAGATGTTACATAAAGACATTCCAATTTTTTTATATGTAGATTAAAAATTAAATCATAATTTTATTGTTTTGTTTTTTGTTATGATATCTATATCTTACGATGAATAATTAAAGATAAAAATTCCAGATCAAAGTGGATTATTATGTTTTTTTTGTTATTTTTGGACGTTTATTGCGTATAAATTAATTTCAACTACGTATACAATATCTACGATAAACTATATTTATCTATGTAGTTTGTATAAGAATTTTTAATTATAACCTAAAAGTACATACTTTTTGAAGCAATCAAATTGATAGAAGACTATGGACATTTTTAAACCCAAAAATGTTAGATAAATATTACAAAGCGAAAGTTTGTTTGTTTGTTTGTTTAAACACGCTAATCTCAGGAACTACTGGTCCGATTTGAAAAATACTTTTTTTGTTGGATAGTTCATTTATAGAGGAAGGCTTTAGGCTATATAACATTACGCTGCGAACAATAGTTTTTTAATTCCGCGCGGACGGAGTCGCGGGCAACAGCTAGTGTAAGATATAGTTATCTACTGGGATTCAACGTGTGTGGATTCTCTGATGTAGAGTTTTCATTTATTGTAGGCATTTTTACTCTCATTTTTTGTGTCAGTCATCAGTCTATGTCGGCGATACTTTTGCTATTTCCTTTTGGATATCAAGTAAAATAGGGTCGACGCTGGATATGCAAGAAACTTCTATACACGAGAGCTACCGTCCGGTACGGACAGACGTCCTCCATAAGCGAGAAACATTGATTAAAAAGAAAACGATATAAGCAAGAATAATATCGCGATACTTTAGACTCTCGTCTATCCAAGTTTGACTGTATTTATAAGCGTTAAACTTTATTTATGTGTAGAGACGTTACTTACAATATTTGTATCTTACATGACATCATTTCTTCATTAATTTTACTGCAGTTTGTCACTAAACAACATCAACAAACGTATTTATTGTTTTCATGGGTATCCTGTGATTCATCGTCTTGATGAATCAGATTTCCTTATGTAATACATTGTTATGAGAACCGTAAATGGATGACAAGTTTCCTGTTGATTCTTATGAATGAAAATGAATGGATATTTGAACCAACATTGATACGAGGCACTTTATAACTCGTAACATCAATCTCTTAACTACAAAAGTTTTACCTTTGTATTAAATGATAATTTGAAACAAGTGGAAGCAACATTTAGCTGAGGAGCGAGCAATTTTCAATCTTTCTTAACTGGTAGCGCCATCTAGCGACAGACAGAAAAACTAATCGCTTATTTTTTTTTTGTGAGTAATATTTAACTTATCTTACTTATATTATAAATGCAAATGTTTAGATGTATGGATGTTATTTAGAAGTTATCCCAAGAACAGCTGGATCGATGTCGCTAAAATTAGGCAACGATTAAGATTCTAAGTTTTAGAACGTAGTCTGGAAGAATACATAGACAATTTTTTTTTTTTTACTCCCGCGTCAACGGAATCGCGGGTCACAGCTTTATTATAATATTTTTACCTGTGTTCTGTAAACTATACCATACAAAATATGTTTTTATATAAAACTGGCATTATTATACACTTTGTAATTTATCGTTGATGATTAATGTCGTGTTTACAATGTTGCTATATTTATATTTAATGTCTGCTGACTGCAGTATCATTACTACTTGTTTACGAATTACGAATGACCTCTGACTGTATGCGTCTCTCCAGCGAACATGTTTTTATTACATGTCCTTCACCACTGATATTTGCAATTCATTGCTATTGCTATCTACAATGCATTATACGTAATAGAACATCTTAAAAATTTAATGACAGATTCTTAGCTAGCATTAATTTCCAATAAGTTTCGTAAACTCACGGCCATACTTAGAATTACTTAAGTCCTGTGATTTCCATGAACCATAAGTAATCAACCTTAGAGACGTTTAAACGAACTGCTAGGCATTAAATTATTCAAACTTTCGTGAGACATTATAATGTAAATACTTATATAAAAACGGCTAACAGTGAGCTGAAGGCCTCGTCCGCGAAATAATACCAGTCCCACTCACCCTGATGAAGGGCTCCCGATGGGCTCGAAACTAGTCGGTGCCGAAACCGGAAGAATATGAGTGAACTGCTAGACAGTTATTTTATTAATGTTTCGGCTATCGGCAACTTAGAAATATATCTATTTTTTATATGTAGATTAATAATTAAAGAGATACATAAAGGTATAAATAAAACTCATAATGAAAACGATAATATAAAATATATTGAGGATAACGTTTATATTGGCGTGCAACAACTGGGTAGGCAGAGAATAGCGTCGACGTGCGCCCGCGCAGCCGACGCGCCTTCTGTATCAACGCCGCATGCTGCACGCCGACGACTTTGCGCGCTGGATTTTCTTCAGGAGGATCTGGATATCAATTGTACTTACTAATACATCCAATCATTGAGTAGGTACAGAAATGATTGCGACGATGACAGATGACAGATAGAGCGCGCTAGTGTGTAAAGTGAATGGCGAAAATGAAATAGGAACAAAGTATCACGGTTTATAGCCTGTCCATTTAATAGAGGTCAGTGGTAAAGAGCGAAAGTGCTTTGTTTTTAACTTCTTACCATATTGTCGTGGTCTATTTTCTTCTGTTGCATTTTACGGTGCACAGCGGCAGGCGGCACAGGTTTCCTAGCTGCCTGTTCTCGCGGCGGTATTGAGGATTTGCGAGAGTTACGCGCACTCAAGATCTTGTTCAGTAAGATGTGGTTGTGTCTCTCAATTTCACGCAGTCTCTCGTTTGTGAAGGACATGTTGACGCGACGTGTCGGAGGAATTGATATCGAACTGTGAAAGGACACGACAAATATCCAAATCTATTACAGGACATGTCTAATATAGGTGTAAACTACAATTTAGTCTTTAGTCAAAAAATACTTACCCATAATTCGTAGATTGTCCAGACAAAGATTGTTGTTTATTAGTCGAACTATTCGACAAACTTTTTGTTAATTTGACAAGAGGTTGAGTTGATGGAGTCTCCTTGATAATATTATGTTCAGATTTACTTTGTTTTTTTCTTTCTTTCACCACCTCTTCTATTTCACTTCTGTCCTCTTCGAACTCGTCAGAATATACGTCGTCTTCATTATCTTTGGTCTCGACTTCTGATTTATCGTTGCCCGAATCAGAGTCCTCATACACACAAGTCTCTACACAGATATTAGGTGGTCGTTTCACAGCATCAACTATACATCCCATCTCTGTGAGATCTTTTGATAATTCATCGACCTCGTTATTATTCTCCTCTCGATAAAACTGTTTAGGTTTCATTTTATTTGAGTCCCCAGAAGAAAAATCCGTGTCAATGTAATCACTACATTCCGTTCTAGCTCCTACTTTGATCTCGCTACGTGACATCGTGCTTGAAAGCGTGCAAATTCTTGCTAAAATCGAAAATATAACATTAAATGTGCACGATATTCTCTACTAACGTCTATTTTTATAACAATAAGACCTTAAAATACATTATTAAGCACTTACAATAAAGGTTTTGTATACGTGATTATGAAAGCAATTAAGTAATTCTGTAAGAAATCTTCAAAATCATACGATTTATTACAAAAAAATACCACAAGCAATATATTTTACGATAACAAAGCAAAACAAACCTAAAAGAATTACTGGCACAAAGCAAAATATAAATCTGACAAATGATATTACATGTCAAAATTTATGTTTTTTTTAAACTGAACAGGTCAAGTTTTACCAACGGCCGCCAACAGCCAGGTACTTTTTGTCCGAGCCAATATATTATTCCTATTGAACACCTTGTTAGAAGACGCAATCTTTGTTATTTAATAAAATCAATAATATGAACTCAACAACATGTAAACAAAACTCGCGCCATGCCATCTGTTGCCTGGTTACGGTCGGATACATGATTCGATATTGAATTTTTTTTTAAATGTATTTTTACAACCGCTACTTACCTATTTCTCCTAATTATTGCATTAAATGCACTTTTTATTTTGTTTAAGATTTTCTATTAAAGTTAATCTTGTCTTTAATAAACAAAATCCAAATAGCAAACAAGCTAATCGATTTTCTATTCGAAACATCGCCCTTATCTAAATGGCATCACTATCTTTACCATTGACAGCTGTCACTCTTCATTCATTTAATTCACTTCATCTGTCAGTTTTAGTTCACTTCATTCACTTTGTCTTCACCACATCGCAGAAGAAAAGAAAGAAAATATCCTCAAAGTATTGGAAAAATTGTTTCAGTGGAAAATATGTCTCTTAAATAACATCCGTAATAACTAGATAGCCTTTATTAAATTAACATCGAAAATGGTTACTATTATAAAGAATCAGCTGTTGAAACACTTATCGAGGTAAGAATTCTTATAAATACAACTATATTCATAAATTAGGACATATTGATAAAACTACACAAGTGGACTTAAATAAACAAAATATTTTCGCTTGATCAAGAAATATGGGAGTTTAATCTAGTAAATTATATGATTAATATTCAATAACATAAAGATATGTAGGTGATAAATTCGTAAACAAAAATGTTTATGTACTAAACAATAACATAGGTTGAAAGTAAATTGTTATTACCGAAAATTCTAATTACATTTAATATGATACTGGTATGTTTTTTATCTATATTGAAAAAATCAAATGTATTTATTAAGTAAGGCAACAGATTAGTTATAATTTTATAAGCAGTAAACAATACCCTTACCTTAATTATTAACAACCTATAATTATTAACAAAATACTACAACATAATTATTTACTACGAATATTAAACTCTTGACAGAACTCTTCACATGCAATTATAGTGTTTTAAATCCAAGACATTAAAATAAAATTAACCATAGGAATAGGACTGAGTTTTAATACTCTTCATTTATATATTTTGTTTTTTCAGCATGTCACAATTTTTTTTTTATTATTTTAGGTTTTATGGGATCTTCACTTTTATAATTTCCATATTACTTAATTAGAATATGTTTCCTTTATCAGATACACAAAGAATTTATCGCCAGAACAAATCTCACTGTCGGCACTTCGAGGTTCTGGAGAACTGCAAGACTTGACATTGGACGAGGATCTGCTGACAGATCTGTTAGAATTACCTGCCTGGGTGCGGTTGAGTTCGGCAAAATGCAATCGTGCGTCATTCAGAATACAATGGACCAAACTGAAAACAGTTCCTATTGTTTTGGTAAGTTTTTTTTATAACTAACTTTCGCCTACGACTCAGTCCCCCTGGAACTTAAAGAAAAAACTAAAAAAGTAGCTTATGTGTTCTTTCAGACTTTATTCATCTTCTGTGCTAAATTTTATCAAGATTCTTTGAGCTGATCCATTGATACCTTATTACGCTCATCCATACATCTAATAATTTACATTTAATAAGATTTACGTGGTTGACTGTGGCCTAGTCCCACATAACTTAGGGTAGGCTCCGAGCCCCTAGGTGGGGACATATAGTGAGCTGATGATGATGAAGATTTATAATTTACATGAAGTATTAAAAAAAATATATAGATAAATATCCATTGTAGAAGTTTAGTGATTCAAAAGGAGGTTCAATACTTTTTTAATTTATTTTATTAAAAAAAAAATTGTGTGTTCAGATACTTGGCATAAAATTAATAAAAAGAAATGTTTATGCGCTTATTTTACTAATATTATAAATGTGAATGTTTATATGGATGGATGTTTATTACAAGGTATCTCTATAATGGCTAAATAGATCAACGAAACTTAGCATATAACATAGTATGGAATGACACATAGAGTATAGAGCTGTGGGCCAGCATGTAATCTATAAAATATCATATTATCAGAGTCACTCTATCTTGATTTTCTAACTATAATATTACTACAACATATCTTCTATATATATATATAAAAGAAATTTGTGTTAGACTATTTATAACTCAAGAACGGCTTTACCGATATGCCTGAAAATTGGTGAGGAGGTAGCTTAAAGCCAGGAGACGGACATAGGACTATTTATTCATTTTTTTTCGAATTTATGCCTTAAAGAGCTGCTTTTTTTTAACTTATTTATATGTTAAGGTTTTTATATATTCACGCGGGGGGTGTCACGGGCGACAGCTAGTAGGAAGATAAAAGTGAGTGCATTGTTTGTGTTCACTAAGGAAGCCATGTTCAGTATTCACTGAGTCATAATTCAGTAGACAGTCTGGTCATTGACCCCTATTGATAAAACAATGCAGTTTTATTTTTATTTGACATTGACAAGATAATATGAATTTAAATTTAGAACACTAAAACCAAATCTGTTCCGCCGTTTATTTTAATTACAACCTTTAAAACCATTTCATACTGGCTGCCACTCTCGACTCCTTCCGTGCGGAATAAAAAAACACACAACTTTAATCTAGATTTTTTTAGCCGTTCTGGAGATATCTTCAAACATCCATCCATCAAAACTTACATAGTAAGAAGTAATATTGAAAAGTATGAAGTTGGCACGTCAGACAGAGCAGAATGCTTGTTCACCATGTGCCAAATTAAATAAACAATATTTTAATTTGCAATTTTCTATTTATTTGACAGTCATGATTATATAATTTCATATTTTCTTTAACTATTTTATTCCACTTCGTTATTTATCATTTGTGGGGATACGTAATAAAAATGTAGTCACGTATAACCACGACATTAAGGTTTTTGGGTGAAGTAAAATATTTCAATATAAGGCGTGATTATTTTTATTTTTCTTAATGTAAGCGACGTGAATTGTTTAAGCTACCAAATAGTTTTATGGAATACTAGCTAACGCCCGTGACACCTTCCTTGCGGAATAAAAAAAAATTCCAGCTTGATTCACGCGTTCCTGAGAAAAAGGGTCTTAACAGA